AAAAGTCATGCTTTTATATCCTCACTTTAAAAGTCATGCTTTTATATCCTCACTTTAAAAGTCATGCTTTTATATCCTCACTTTAAAAGTCATGCTTTTATATCCTCACTTTAAAAGTCATGCTTTTATATCCCCACTTTGAAAGTCATGCTTTTATATCCTCACTTTAAAAGTCATGCTTTTATATCCCCACTTTAAAAGTTATGCTTTTATATCTCACTTTAAAAGTCATGCTTTTATATCCTCACTTAAAAAAGTAATGCTTTTATATCCTCACTTTAAAAGTCATGCTTTTATATCCTCACTTTAAAAGTCATGCTTTTATATCCTCACTTTAAAAGTCATGCTTTTATATCCTCACTTTAAAAGTCATGCTTGTATATCCTCACTTTAAAAGTCATGCTTTTATATCCTCACTTTAAAAGTCATGCTTTTATATCCTCACTTTAAAAGTCATGCTTTTATATCCTCACTTTAAAAGTCATGCTTTTATATCCTCACTTTAAAAGTCATGCTTTTATATCCTCACTGTAAAAGTCATGCTTTTATATCCCCACTTTAAAAGTCATGCTTTTATATCCTCACTTTAAAAGTCATGACATTGTTATTAAAATATGTAAACTTATGAAGTTGCAAAAAATAAATCAATAAAAATACCCATATATGCGAAAAATAAAGACTTCGGCTTATAATCAGGAGTGGCCAGTACGATATTTATAATGGAATAGTGTAAGCCTCTTATAAGATAAGCCTTAAATATAGCCAACGGATCATCAAATTTATCGGGCGTAGCGATATAGGTTGCACTAATTGTAATCGGTTAAAGATACCAGTTAATATTCTTTTTTCAATCTGTTATAAAGTGACATAATGACAATTTAGTCATTTTTCATTTTTTATTATTATTTCCTTTTCTTATTGTACATATTTTTAACTGTGGGGGTGGGGCACTTGAGGTGCTCCGAGAGGGGGTATACCCTCTCCCCCGGAGAGATCCCTAAAAGAGACCCTAATTTTTAGAGTAATCCCGTTTTAAAGAAATTATCCTTTGAATCAGCTGATGGTATTTTACCCTTTTCGTCCATCACTCTATTCAGTTACTTCATTTCGTGACTCTTGCAACACGACTGGAACTAAGAATACGTCAACACATTTTGATCGAGCTGGTTGGAAAAAGAGCTTTATTCAACAGATTAGGACCCGATTACATAGCTTTAAACACAACATCAATAGCACCAGGCCAATTCTATTTCGTTAAAAATAGATTCATATGCATTGAATTTACTGAAGCATGATCTAAGTAGTTGGTTCCAGTTGTTCCAATAGCGACATAAATTTAAATTTCATTTTAAACTTTCTATTAGTTCTAGGTCAGCTCTATGGTGGACAACTTTTCCGAAACTCTTAGTAATCCATGTCCGCCAGGTCCAGTTAAAATTTAAGAGTATAACAGAGGTATAACTAATTTACCTAGTTTTTAGAGTGATACCTCACAACAACTCGGAGACTAAAAAAAATAATGTAAAAAATGAAATGATGAAACCTATAATTAAGCTATTTCATACAAATCACTGTTGTATAGTCTTGTAAAGTAAGAGTGGATATATGAAAGACAGATGCAAAAAACATTAGATGTAGTAACAATTTTCAAAGCGTCAGTGAATCAATCAACTAGCAGCATCCATCCTTGTCAAAGAAACACGGGCAAAAAAATGTCAAATCTTTCGAAAACGTTACGTAGCGGGGGAATAAGATATATTTAATAAATTTGATTTCATCTGCAAGTTTTTTTTTTTAAAGGCATGCCCTAAAGTTAGTTAGACCTAAAGATTTAAATGGATAGAATAACATGATAATGAGGTAACTTGCAAGAAAACCATTTAATGGAAGAATTTATAACAACTAAAATGTACAATTAATTAGTTCTCATTGCTTCACTCCATGGTTTTCAAAAAAATTTGATAACACGAAATTTGTAATTGTGTTTCTCAGAAGAAGCAAAGTAGTAGAATTTCTTGAATTGAGTCTTTTTCTTCTTTACCACATCAAGTTAACTTCATTATTTTTAATTTTTTTAAATAATGGATGGCTATAAAATGCACGTTGACGTCCATTTTCACATAAATTCGTTTAAACAGACGAGGAATATCTTCTCCAAAACAGAAGCCAAGCCGTTTCATCGCACATTAAAAGCTACACAATACTATATCCTCTAACTTTATAGAGTGTACTGCAGCAGGGATGAGTACTTGGTTTCTTCGTCTTCGCTAAAGTTAGCATTGAGCACGGCGTGAAGTCCTTTACCTTTGTACTTCTCTATCCCACTGACGCGGCCAGTCCAGATACCATTGTCACCAGGCTCCAGATGTGTCCACTCGTCACCCGTAGTAACGGCTACGGCGTGGGCTTGGGGGACAACCACGCGAAACATGACGTCACCCTTCACGTGATCCCCAGCCAATGAGAACGGTTCGAGAAGCACGCATCCGTCTCTCCATTGGGCGAACTGTTTGGGGAATAAGCGCGATTTCCGGGGAGTTCCGGTACAATGAATGAGATAGTTGAAAACCCCCGGCAGCTGTTTGTTGCTGTCGGAAGACGGGAGTGCGTAAACCTGGAGCCTGTGGTAGCCGGTCTTGTCCAGACTGATCAGAAGGTTAATGTCATCCGCACGGGTTTGAATGAAGACACGCTCTTGGGATTCCGCACCAGTGACCTCGCTGACCACCTTGCTGGTGATCTTGACCGGCTGGCTGGCTTTCAGCTTGATGACGAATTCGTTTTCGCTTGTTTCGAACTCGGGCTCGGGGTGGGTCTTCGTGGACAACCCGATTTCTTTGAAGAGGGGCTGGGCTCCAAGGTAGCCATTTTGTAACGTGGGACGCTCAGTCATTGCTGAATTTAAATCTCGGCGAGAGTGTGATTTATTTATGTATAAATTACAAACACATCTAGTATGAGTCTTATCGAAGAAATTAGAAATTTTGTTTGCGGTAGGCTTCGCTAGGAGATAATCACATTAGACTTTGTAACTTGTTAAAACTGTGAGTCATTGAATGTTACTAGAATGCACAACAATGCTAGGTTGGCTAAATTTGTGTTACTAAAATGTGTTATCCAGGCAGTAATAGAAATATGTTCATCCGCTCAACACGGCTAGCGTTTCCTGTGTATACCAACGTCAGTGCTGGTAGGATAAATCCTGATTTCAACTCCACCTGTGATGAAATAGACATCTGGCCCCAGACCAATGGTGGTGGTTTAAGGTAACGGCGGGATTTAGAAGCGTTGTTTCTAACAGTCACTGTGCAGATATTCCACACTAGAAACAGACTGAAGTAAATAACTAACAAGTCAAACCAGACGGCGAGCAGTCCTCCAGGAGTTACGTCACCTAGCACCAGGTCCGTGAGTACCGTACGTCAGCTGAGATACGTTGAGAATAATCTACCTGGTAGGTGAACTGAAAGAAGGTAGAAATAACAAGGGTTGGTTAATAACATCCAGGTAGAAATAACAACGGTTGGTTAATAACACCCAGGTGTGGGGGAAGCTCTTCCACTTTGGCGGTGTATTTATGTGGCTTGAGATATGCAAGCTCTTCATGGGAGATTAAGATCTTCGTGATCATATTAAGGATATATCTCTATGGGACTGTTATAAAAGGAAGAGAATCCGTGTCAATGGTTACAGTAGATGGCTCGCATATTCGGCTTAGACGTGGCTTATGGAGTTCTTAAACATTCTTAGGCCGGTGGTCGGCTAACCGCGGCTGGCGAGCCGCATGCGGCTCTTTAGCGACCTGAGTGCGACTCGGCCAGTCGGCCACAAATCGGGTTTGACTCTAAAGACATGGTTCTTGACAGGTTCTTGAAAAGAAATCTGGCTCTCAAACAAATTTTAATCGATCTGCTGCTGATTTTCGGCTCTTTTGAATCATGAGTTCTTATCACTGATCTTAGACTAACGGTTGTTTTGCAAATAGTTAAATACACTGTGCCCACATTTTAAACACTTGCAGAATGACACATATATTACAGTACTTAGCTCAGACTCGAATTTTATTTGTTATAAATTTGATTCGATTATTCGGTTAAAAGCCCAAAGCACATATAACTAAGGTCAAGCAAGACATTCTATTATATATAATATCATGGCAAACGGCCCATAGTTCTTTTAAGGTTATTTCTGTTGTCATAGGTTATGGGGCAGTCTGTCACAAGATGCAAAATTTATTATTATTTTTAAGGTGGTTGTGCAGTGGCGTAGCTAGGGTTGGTGCTGCCTGGTGTGGGCCAAGACATCTGCCGCCTCTTTCACTAAAAAAAAAACTGGGTTGGGTCAAAATTGCCGCCCTCCATATAAAGGGCATTCCCCCCCCCGCACCCCTTCAAACGCTCCTGAGGGGAGGGTGACGTTTTCAATCCACCCCAACAAACATTTTTTTTTTCGAATAGCAGAATAAAACAAGTCACCAGCAAAATGTTGGCAAAGAAATCAGCACAATGGTATGCTATGGTGTTAGTTGGATATAGAGTTGGCATTGTTTGTGGATATTGTGAGTGAGGGCTGGTAAACCCAAGGACCATCTAGGGCGCCAAAAAAACTTAATGCACCACTTTTATGTGTCCCTTCACTGTTACTTTGTATCCCATATTTTTCAGCATTCCATAACTATTGATAGAAACTCGTTATGCCCTTCCTAACAAAATAATTACAACGAGGGCTTGAGCGGGTGCAGTTGTTTGACACTGGTTCCGCGTATTTTGAGATATAGGCCTACAGGGAGTCCTACACCCTACCTGCCAGCCTTTAAACAATAGGCCTACAGACAGTCCTACACCCTACCTGCCAGCCTTTAAACAATAGGCCTACAGGCAGTCCTACACCCTACCTGCCGGTCTTTAAACAATAGGCCTACAGGCAGTCCTACACCCTACCTGCCGGCCTTTAAACAATAGGCCTACAGGCAGTCCTACACCCTACCTGCCAGCCTTTAAACAATAGGCCTACAGGCAGTCCTACACCCTACCTGCCAGCCTTTAAACAATAGGCCTACAGGCAGTCCTACACCCTACCTGCCAGCCTTTAAACAATAGGCCTACAGGGAGTCCTACACCCTACCTGCCGGTCTTTAAACAATAGGCCTACAGGCAGTCATACACCCTACCTGCCGGCCTTTAAACAATAGGCCTACAGGGAGTCCTACACCCTACCTGCCGGCCTTTAAACAATAGGCCTACAGACAGTCCTACACCCTACCTGCCGCCTTTAAACAATAGGCCTACGGGCAGTCCTAAACCATACCAGTGGCTCTTTATTGATTTATATAATAGTCACTTCCTCCTAATGAAAAATAATTTACCTGAGTTCACAAGTAACGCATGACAGCCTTATTTTTCACTCAGTACTATTAATATAAAACATGTGTATTTGGGGGGAGAGTGATTTCGAAACGGAAGCAGGACACACCAGAAGCAAAATGTAAATTATAGATTATTTCGTTTGACAATTTCAAGGGGATGTAATTACAGATATATAAACATTTACAAGGGGGGGGGGTAATTATATAAATATAAATTTAAAAATAAGTTAGCTCTGGATTATATAAATATAATTAAAACTAAAAGATCTTAAATATTCAACGTAATGCACGAAATATCAATTCAATATAATTTTTTTATATATAAATTGATTCTTTTCATCTTATATTCAGCCTGAACTAGTTTCACGAACTTTGGACAGAACTCAGAACTCGAATGGAGCATCAAACATTTTACTATTAGTGATTCGTACAGCAATGTAGCTTATCATAAAATTCAGACACATCCGAAAGAACATGAATTTAAAGTTATACACTGGCACAAAGCCACACTAGCACCAGAAACCATTTCACACATCCACCCACCAACGTGAGTACCTCTGTAGAGTCATGTCTCCATGCACCAGCAAGCTGCGACTAATGATTCCAATTTACGAGAAATCCTCTGCATGAGATGTACGCCTCTCCTGACTACGTCACATCACACAGTGTACACCATTCATAACTTAAACTCTACTGGATTAAAACTATCTGAGCTCCCTTAATCAGCCCATGTGACATGTTTCCGTCTCTCTCTCTCTCTCTCTCTCTCTCTCTTCGCCCCCTCTATTTTAAAATATATTCTATTTTTGAAGTCAGCCATGCCACATTAGATTTCTCTCGACGGTTTATTTTTAAAAAAGAATGTATGCTAGAAAAAGAGAGAGAGAGAGAGACCCGACTTCAAACCCTACAAAGTGTACGGCACAGAACGGGGGCTGATGGGTACACATCTCCCACGAGAAATTCCTACCGTGAGTTTTGTAAGAATACCTCGTAAGATTGGCAATTTTTCTTTTTACGTTTCCTTTCTTCTTACAAAATTTGCTACTCTCAGAACCAACTTCAGAGAACCTCGAGTAGATAAAGAGTTGAGGGTACTTGGGAAACGGTAAATCACTTGGGCCAGATTTCTGTGCAATCGCAGACATAATCACAGAAATTTAGACACACCGACCGTCATGTTTGGTTTAAATCACCTCAGAGGTGATAGAATCTGTCATAATTGGCCCCCACTTAAAATCAGTTCTTTTTTTTTTTTTACTTAACTAAAAATTTTAACTCAGATGTATTTAACTTAGTTAACATCACCAAGTAATCAGCGAAAAAAAAACATCAAAGGAAATGCCTTCTGTTCAGTTTTGTAAAATCGTTAAGCCAATAAGACAAATTCGTAGTTTAGTTTAAGGGATACATGCAGACATTAATATATCTATTTCTTCAAAAGCCGTTCGGAATGTACCTTTATGTACTAGTTAGTGAACTGAAATGTAGTAATTAATCGATCTGTGTGGTGGAGATGTCCTGAAACGATACGAAGGGGCTGGTGCCAAATTGATTAATTACCAGTTACAGCCCGCCAAACAATGGCGGTGGCAATGCATGAACTTCCCTTCTAATCTTTTTTGAAAAAACTTGCAGTCGGGTACATCACCTTATAATAATCCAAATTAGTGCCACCCCCACCTCCATCTACTCCACCGCACACTATTTTGTACTATATTCATATCCTAATGTCTCAGCCCTTTTTACATTACAGATGTATTACATCATATTTAAATTTAGACTACCGCCTTATAGAAAAAGAAAATACATGTATTACGCCTACAAACGCACTTGGGCTATTTTTAAGAATCTAACTTAGCGCATGTATCTTCAATTTTATTTTGCACGCTAATTGAACTCATCATTACACCACACTTTCTATCATACACAGAGAATGATATTGATTGATAGTTCTCTTCATTTGACCATAAATAGTAATGCTCTGCGGATCGGCACCCTCTGGATGGCTCTAGGACATTTTGAACGCTGGACCTTACCTTCTATGTTAGAATTGTAAACGCTTTATTGGACCCACTGGCGTTTGAAACAATCCAGCTTTTCGTGTCTTTGCAATCTAGGATAAGACGTCATGTGTTTCATGGGCTTTCTATATTGAAACTGGAAACTAAAGTCGATATTAAGGCCTCGGAAATAACGGTGTGGGTCAAAAGATGAAAATCATAATGTTAAAGACCGGGGCACGATAGAAAAAAAGGAAAAAAAAAAGACAAGTCTGCCAATATCGATGTTTTTAGGTATCCATTAAAAATAAACTTGCCTCCCTTCCCACCCCCACACCCCAAACTTAATGGGTCTTCTCGTGGTTTTAAAATTGTCCAGAATGGTGGTCAAATGAGTCTGGTGGTCAAATGAGTCTGGGATGGACAATCTTACGACCCGTTGGCCACACAGGGCATGCTTCAACATTTAATCCGACCTGAAAAACCTTCCGGGAAATTGATTATTATTTTCGTGAAATGTAAAAACTGAAAATTATCTGTAAAGGCATTTGAAACTTGATAATCACAGTGATAATCATAGCCAGTGTAATAATAATCGTCATAGAACATTTTAAAATTGTTTCACTGATTATTTCGGACCTGAACATCTAGTTAAGTTTTAATGTGACTCAATGACGTCATGTATCCAATGGAGGCCACTTACTCTCTGAGAAATCTGGCCGAGCATTAAGCAGTCATTTCATTAACGTTTGAATATGACTTTTAACTGCTAAAAATTGTAGCATGGCATTTTTAAACTCTGTTCCGCAGTATTGACAGTGCACTCAATATCACTCTGGTTTCTAGAGAATTATGTTGCTCGCCTAAAGAATACATCATACTTCATGCAGCCCTCTGCACACGCACGCACACACATACATACCACACCACACCCACACTCAAAGGTTCCCCACTGTGTTCTAAGTGGACCAGTAAAATTGAGGTTAGTCCTCCACATCTAATTAGTGTTGTTACCTTACAGAACACTGCTCTGTTTCCAGATGTAGCGTAATTGTTGGTGGGGGGGGGGGCGTGGGGCGGCGGGGCTGTTAGACCTCATGGCAATGATTCAGGTTCCCCACTGTGTTCTAAGTGGACCAGTAAAATTGAGGTTAGTCCTCCACATCTAATTAGTGTTGTTACCTTACAGAACACTGCTCTGTTTCCAGATGTAGCGTAATTGTTGGTGGGGGGGGGGCGTGGGGCGGCGGGGCTGTTAGACATCATGGCAATGATTCACATGTTCATGTGACGTCAGTAGAGGGGAAGCTGTTTAAGCGACATTTCAACTGGGTGCAAGCGAGAAAATACTTAGGTGCATGGTGAACCCGATGCTTAAATAAAAGAGACCATAGTAAGACATAAAACTGATCTGCTGAGGAAGGATATGTCCTGGTCACTGCTGAAGGAGATTTCCTGACCGCTGTGGAAGGATATGCCCTGACCACTGTGGAAGGATATGCCCTGACCGCTGTGGAAGGATATGCCTTGACCACTGTGGAAGGATATGCCCTGACCACTGTGAAAGGATATGCCCTGACCGCTGCGGAATGATATGCCCTGACCGCTGTGGAAGGATATGTCCTGGCCAATGTGGAAAGTTTTTCCCTGTCAGCTGTTGAAGACTATGTCCTAATCCTCGAATGCGCACTCAGTGAACTGCAACAGTCGGTTCCAGGACCTGCATTATGCTCTACATCAGGAATTGGCAACCTTTTGGTATTAGTGTGCCATAGTAAGTCTAATCTAATGCATCCAGCGTGCCAACGATAGACTTCTAATTCATTCAGCGCATCGATAACTTATAAGTTATAAGCCTACCATTTAAGACTCATTTTGAATGTACCATTATTATTTGGTGTTCCGCGTGCCAATGAAAATCCCTATACGTTCAAACTCTGGCACGTGTGTCTGCTCTGCATTCATTCTTTCATATATCATCGCTTCCACTAGATTCTTTGATTATATAAATTAAATGCCTTGACATTTAAGTCAATCTGACATTTGAGATGACGTTTCTGACGAAGGGAGGATTGACCTTAAAGCAACCTCGGGCCCAAAGGGTAGGGGGGTGGGGGAGGCTATACCCTAAACCTTAATCCTAAAAGTACAAACTAAGACTTATCCAAGATTTCTATGCTTTTTGGTATTTCTAGATCTGAATGATGTGACTTTAAGTCTAGGAGGGTGGGGTTGTCTTGGAGTGTGGGGTTGTCTTGGAATGTGGGGTTGTCTAGAAGCGTAAGGTTTTCTACGAGTGTGGGGTTGATACTGTACATCGGTATTAGAAGTTACATCTCGCCGTTGTTGAAAAGTTTACTAGCCACCAAGACCCACCCCCAACCAGAATCCCTGCCGCAGTCTCTAGCTTGGTGACTGCCATGTTTAGGTGGGTGGTCTTCCCTTGTTTCTAAGAAACGCACAATTAACTCTCGACCTTCAACTTGTTTTTTTTTTAATAATTTTTTTTTTTAAATATTATTTAAATTTTTTTTTTAAATATTAACTTCGATGAATAATTTATAATGATATTGTCATGTTCTAAGTCTTATAAGTTTTAAGAAATAGATTCTCCGTTTAAATATCATAAACTGATGAGATACAGGCTTATTCAACGATGTTTTATGCATAGACTTTTTTTAAAAACAAGTCAGAGTCTATTGTGAATGGATTAGCCCCGAGTTAGAGATTGTTGACTTGGCACAGAGCTCAAAATCCAATGGTAATCCAAAATAAACAGTCAAAAATTAGGATGTGAGCCCACCCACCCCAATTCTCCCCCGCCCCCAAAACGTGCTCTTACCTGGTCCTACATTTGCTCAGGTGTATACATGTACAGCCTCCTCACCTGAGTTCATAGGTCAACATTCCTTGCCATCTATTGTGCAGAGTTCTCTACTCGAGTGTTTCACAAATCCACCCTGGCCTTTCCACCATCATTTTCTTTCCAGACGCCACATGCACACACACACACACTTATTTCATTTAAAAATAATGCATAAAACTATCACATCATCCACCAAATAATGCCTAAAACCGTCAAATCATCCACAAAATAATGCCTAAAACCGTCACATCATCCACCAAATAATGCCTAAAATCATCACATCATCCACCAAATAATGCCTCAAGCCGTGACATCATCTACCGAAAAATGCCTTAAACCATCACATCATCCACAAAATAATGCCTAAAACCGTCAAATCATTCACAAAATAATGCCTAAAACCATAACATCATCCACCAAATAATGCCTAAAACCGTCAAATCATCCACAAAATAATGCCTAAAACCATAACATCATCCACAAAATGATGCATAAAACCATCACATCATCCACCAAATAATGCCTAAAACCATCAAATCATCCACAAAATCTTGCCTAAAATCATCACATCATCCACATAATAATGCCTAAAATCATCACATCATCCACCAAATAATGCCTAAAACCATCACATCATCCACCAAATAATGCCTAAAAACATAACATCATCCACCAAATAATGCCTAAAACCATCACATCATCCACCAAATCATGCCTAAAAACATAACATCATCCACCAAATAATGCCTAAAACCATCACATCATCCACCAAATAAGGCCTAAAAACATAGCATCATCCACCAAATAATGCCTAAAACCATCACATCATCCACCAAATAATTCCTAAAACCATAACATCATCCACCAAATAATGCCTAAAACCATAACATCATCCACCAAATAATGCCTAAAACCATCACATCATCCACCAAATAATGCCGAAAACCATCACATCATCCACCAAATAATGCCTAAATACATCACATCATCCACCAAATAATTCCTAAATCCATCACATCATCCACCAAATAATGCCTAAAACCGTCACATCATCCACCAAATAATGCCTAAAATCATCACATCATCCACCAAATAATGCCTAAAGCCGTCACATCATCCACCAAAT